ATGAAAAAGAAAAGTGAAAAGAGAGAGAATAAAACCTTTGGATGGAGGCAGGGTTTTGAGTTTCAAGAGGAGGAGGATGGAGGATTACATGGAAATCTGGCATCTTCTCTCGTTTTTTCTCTATACAATCTTTTAGTGCGATTTCTAGCTATAAGCAGCACCCGTCAAAGTTCTTATTTATAAATCAATTAATTTAGGGCAATTATATTCTAGAGGTATATAACCAAGTGACATTACAAACTCAAATATTATAATATAATGACTATTTCATCCGTAGATAACTGCCGTTACTCAAATCCATTATTTAACAAGAAGATCATGTAAAAAACACAAAAACAATTTTGTCTTATCTGATTATAAATTAAACAATTAAAATAATAATTAGATATAAAAAATATAAAAAAAAATCTTGAAAATGCTGTACATAAAATATATACTTTTTTTACTTAATAAAATTGATATAATAAATTTTTAAATAAGAGGAAAAGAATTCTTTATAATAGAATTGTTTTTAGTGATATAATATTCAAAAATGCTCGGGAAAGGTACCATATGACATGGGGCGGGCGGATATATGTATGGAATCCTTATTTCAACATCGTTTATAATAAATGTTTTTTTTTCTTTAGTCGTACTTCATGGGTTTGTGTCATTTAATAATCATAGACTTCTTTGATTTATAGATTATCCGTGTAGAGAAGAAAAAAGATATTCCAAAAGACAAGCACACACTTGGTTGTTTTAGCAAAGCCAAGTTTTTTTAATTCTTGTCTTTCTCCTGATACTGCCATAGACAAGTGCCCTTTACATAAATTGGATGGCCACCTTTAGCTTTGAACTCTATTATGTCGACATGTCATGTCATCAAATCTTTTGTTCTGAATTAAAAAAAAATCAACTTCTTAACAAGAGATAGTGATGCTTCTTTATATATATATATATATATATATATATATATATAGCCTTTTCTTTTGGATTTAATGGTTGCATATAAGAGCTCATGAGCATTGATCAATGTCTTTTAGAAGTGCTGCCTGACAATTGGATCCTTTTGTACCTTGGAGTTTTCTTCACATTCTTGACCCTCTATATTTAAAACAATCTCTATATGTTCTATGACTTGGAGAAACATTATTTTTTTCCACAAAGTCTCTATTCTATTATATAATGCAACTAGCTAGTAACGCATGGGAAAGGAAGACAAATATTACAACCATTAAGCATGTTTACATCTTTCATGTTTACGGCAGTACATGTGATTTGCTCTCATAAAGTTCGAAGTTTGGATCTCCTTATGAGCACCCATATAACCAAATTTAACTATTATTGTTTCAAATTTTTTTTATATATAAATTATAGGGTTTGACAGACACTCCAAGTTCGAAGCAAGATTTTAATTTCAAACTCCATCTCATAGAACTAGTTTGATGGATTTATATGTTATAGCATGGAAATGTTATATACCTCACTAGAATTTGAGGACAGTAGATATAAATCTAAAAGTTTTAATCACTAAGAGAAAGTGATCATCGGGACCCAGAAGAACATAAACATTAACTAGAGAGTATGTAAGTATGAGATAATTGATTCTTTTTTGACCAATTTGGCCTACTTTCACTACCAACAATAGTGATCAAATGTGACTACTCGACACTGAAATCCCTATACACTTTTTTTGATAAGCCCCTTTTTAAGTTTAAGTCTTGCTTTATCTTCAATAACGAGTCCCTGTTGTGTTTTAAATAGAATTAATATTTCTTAGGTGAGATTTCCGATAGTAGCAGTACCATCTAAAGGTTCTTTGATTGAAATAGTAAGTTGAAACTTGAAATAGTAAGTTGGATGATTCATGAACAAAACCTGTCCTCTATTAGAATTTGCAATCATAAAGGCATTAAAATCTTTGCGGCTGAAATAAGCATTAATTTTTTGTCGTACTAATAAACAAATGTAAATATAAAGTTCTTTATTAAAATGTGCAGAACTTTCCTCTCTTTATTACCTTTTGTGTCAAATGACTCATAATCCAATTGAACAACCAAAAGGTTATACTCAAGGTTTTAAAACACGACCTGATGAGTGATCTAGTTAGGTCATCGGGTCATATCAAACCGGTTTAAAAGTTGGGTCAAACCGTNAAGTTTCACTTGAGGATCAAAGTTGAGATCTTTGATTTCAATACCATTCTAATACCATGTTAAGTAACCACACTTTAAACTTAGATTATAATAGGTGACCCAACATTAATATTTAACTCTAATAGATGGAAATATAAATTCTATGGTTAAAAAAAAAAAATAATAATAATAATAATAGGAATAAGAACTAATTATGACATTCTGAAGGTGTTAAAGATTAGAGAGGACTAACACATAATAAAATTTCTTTTCAAAACTCCATGTGCATGCTATTAGATCGAATACACGTGTCAATAAAGGCATTCGAGCGAAGGACTGCAATGTTGTCTCCTCATTTTTATGTCGTGCAGTGGCTAGCTCCGAGTGCCTCTGTACCAAATCCAGCGCAACATCTAGTAATACAACAATCTACATCATAAAAAATATAGATTATACCCTACAATATCAATTGGATCCAACCTTTCTTTAGTGGACCGATATGATCAAATAATAAAAGCCATTTTCAAAGTTGTACTCACCAAGCCAAAATTAATATGGAGAAAAAGATCTAGAATACCCCAAGACTATCATGTCAGATACTTATGTCACCAATGGATGCTTAAAAGTCTAATGGGCCGAATATAAATAATGCTCCATAAAGGTATTGTACAATCTCTTTGTTTCCCATCAGAGCTGCCATGTGAAGTGGTAACATGCCATTATTATTACCTCTGTTCTTTGCTTAGTCTTCATTCCTCCTCATCATGGCCTTGACGATTTCAACCTCTCCAGAGGCAGCAACAAAAAAAAGCTGTGTTACCAGCATTATTTTGTATAGCTAAATCCTATATTTTCACCTGTTCAAGAAGCTTTTGGACAAAACCAGTGTGCTTTGCTGCAGCTGCAATATGGAGAGCTGTGTCCCCTTCCTTTGATAGTTTGGTAATTTTATCAACTTTATGTACATTGTATATTTTTTCAGCCGTGTTTCAATCACCTTCCAGTGCAGCCCGATACAATATGAAGTGTCTATTTCTCGTTTCGCACAATGACCTTCCCATCTTTGTGCCAAAATCCAATAGGGAAAAAATAATATCTGTTAGGTTTAGAGCAAAAATAGAGGAAAAAAGACGATGAAGAGAAGAGAAAGAGGAGTAAACTGAATATATTTCTTTTTTGTGTTTTTCACTTAATGAGTACAGTTTACAATGAGGATTTTAAAAGCTACAGTAAGCTCAGTATTGAACTGAAAGATAACCAACATTTACCGGCAGTAACAACTGCTTAACAAACCTAACAGCTTAAACAGACTCTAAACTTCTTTACTAATATCTTCCTTCAAACTAAACTGAGTAAGACTCTTAACATCTTCCCTCAAACAAAGCTAGGAAACTCTTTCAATTTCTGATACTGATAATATTGATTAAATCTAATGAAACACATTACTATTTTATTTACTTGAGAAAAGAAGCCTACATATGAACTTACCAAAATTGTGATGCTACAATCATATAATAAAAAGACTTCACCTCTTAAGTATCCAAAAAAAACCAGTTCATATAATCAGAGATGAAGTTTTTACCGGGGCAGTTTCTTTTTCTTTCGTGGAAGATTCAATTTGTTTTTACCATTGAGATTGAAAAGTCCTTCGAGAGTTCCACATTCTCTGATGTTTCAAATTAAGAGAAAAAAGAGTACAGTTATTCTGATAGTTTATTTCACTAACTTTGTTGATCTTGACATTTGCAATTTCTCCTGATCATTAAGCATGTTCAAACTAAACTAGGTACTAGAGGAGTCCATATGACATTAAAAAACTTAGGTAGTGTATATCACATTAGCCCTTGGATATTAAATTTGTAAAAGGGTATTCAGAAAATGTATCTTAATTTATAAAAGGAAAACAAAAAATTAATAACAGCATTCATTGCAATGTCAAAACGTACCATCCATTTTTTTATGAGGTGCAGCAATCACAATCTCAACTTTTTCTTCAGTTGAGGTACATCCTAACGCAACGTTATCCTTCATTATTTATTAGCTCGTTATTCGTGGGATCTACAATGAACCTCACAATGTGTTAGTATTAGACAATGAATTTTGGTACAATAAAATGAACCTTATGTTATTATTATCATTTTTCGAAGTATACTATCATTTCAATCCATTGCATCTTTAAATGAAATAATTTTTAACGGATCGGGTCCATGTACACTTAAAGAAATATGTGGGTTTGTTTATAACAATGTGAAATCTCAAGGGAGAAAATGTATTTTTTTCCATAGAAAAAATAAATAAAATCTTTGACTTCATGGAACGAGTGTTTGAAGATTTAGCTAAACTAGATTCATATTGGGAATGAATATTATAGAATAACAATCTTTTATCTCAAGTACTTCCAGATATTAGCTAATACAAATTCAATAATCAATATGTTGGCAGTGTAGATAGATATAGCAAACTAAAAAATACAAATCAATGAATTTAACTTAAGACTCTACTGTTGATATAAAAGGGTGAAGTGCAAAGTTGTCAAATATTTGGATGCTTTTAATAATCGGTCAAAGTGATGTCGTTTTAAGTAAAGAATTCAGCTTACTTTACTTTGTAACTGTGTCAGTATAAAAGAACTACTACTCTGTCTTATTTGTATCGATTCTCAATCAATTGAAATATACAAACCCTTTCTTCTCTAAATTTGTTCAAGATTTGTTCATACTTCACATGGTATTAAAAACTGCACTTCAGATTAAGGGATTTTAGAACTCCATCTCATATTCTAGCTTGTTAATTTTCAAGGAAAATTCTGCTGTTACTTATGTTTTGGTGTACGATGATGATATCCTTATTACCAGGTCTAATCCTACTTATATTAGTCAACTGATGAAAGACTTGAATGCTGAATTTGCACTAAAAACCTTAGGGTCTCTGCAGTATTTCTTGGGTTTGGCAGCAACTAGAACTCCAGTTGGAATTCATCTCAAACAAACTAAGTATGCAACTGATTTATTTGTGAAGACCAATATGCTTGAAGCTTATGCTTGTTCAACTCTAATGGCCGTTGGCACCAAGTTATGTTCACTTGATAGTCCAGCCTTTGAACATCCCAGTTTGTATAGAAGCACTATTGGTGCTCTTCAATATTTGACCCTCACCCATCCTGACATCAGCTTTCCTGTTAACAAGCTTAGTCAACACTTGCAAGCCCTAACAAATCTGCAGTGGCAAGCATACAAGAGGATCCTTCATTACATCAAAGGTACTCTCCGTTTTGGACTGCATTTTAAGCTAGTAGCATCCTTGCATATTGAGTGTTATGCTAATGCCGATTGGGGAAGTAGTCTTGATGATCGAAGGTCCACAAGTCGGTGCTGTGTTTTCTTAGGTCCAAATCTCATTCAATGGAGTTCTCACAAGCAAAAAGTGGTAGCATTATCCTCAACTGAGGTTGAGTACAAAGCACTTGCCCAAACTGCTATTGAGGTAGCCTGGTTATAGAATATGTTCTTTGAATTGGACCTAAATTTTCCTACAATACCAGTGATATGGTGTGATAATGTGAGTGCTAGAGCTCTTGCTTCTAATCTAGTCTTCCATGCATGGACCAAACATATTGAATTTGATACACACTACATTGATGAACAAGTTTTAACCAAGAAGCTGGTGGTTCAATATGTGCCATCAAAACTTCAAATTGCTGATCTCCTAACAAAACATCTCTCAGCTAGGGGTGAGCGGTTCCGGGTACCCTACACTTTTCCGGGGAACCGGAACCGGAACCGCACAGTACAGGTTCCCAAAAAAGGAACCGGAACCAGAACTGCACAGTACAGGTTCTTCAATTCAAGGAACCGGAAACTAAAATGCAGGTTCGGTTCCTTTCCAGGGTACCTATAAAAAATCAATTACCCCCTATTAGTTTAAAAAATAACAAAAACACCTTATACGTTTACAAATACACCCCTAACAAATTTTCGTTATCATTCATTTGTGTCCAATGTAACTCATAACCTGTAATCTCTTAGCAACACTTGAATTCAATCAATTCATCATAATTCACATAAAATTCGTCAATCAAAACCAAACACAAACAATTATTCACACAATTCACATAAAATAAATTCACCAAATCATTTAAACAAACAACAATTCTTAATACTAATTACAACATTGCCATTGCCAGGGTATTTGATAAGTTAATAAAATATTAATGTTTATAAATTATTAATTTAATGTTATAATGGGTAATTGGGTATTTATAATATACCAATATAAATGTAAATTTAATATTAGAACAAGAATGTTATAATTAAAAGTGAGTCATACTACAAGTAAATTGTATATTATAATTAATTAAGTAATAATTATTTAATATTAATGTAATATTAAATTAATTAATTGTTAATCATTTAATTAAGTATTATAAATTGTTTAATAGAATGTTATAATTAATTAAATAATCATACCATAAATTTATAAATAATGTTATAATTAATAAAATTAAATAATCGATTAAATATTGTGTAAATTAGTAAATTACTAATGTTTATAATATATTTCATAATCAATTAAGTATCATTTAATTATGTAATGTTATATTAATATATGTCATACTATAATAGTATAATGTAATGTTATAATGATTAAGTAACATATTACAAATCTATAAAATATTATAATTAATTAAATTTCAAATCATTAATTAATATACTATGTTTATAATGGAATGTTATAATTGATTAAGTAATTATATTACAATATATAAAGTAATGTATAATTAATTAAATTTTTAATCGTTAATTAAGTAATGTAATAATATGTAAATTACTAATGTTTATAATGTATGTTATAAATTCATAACTAATTAAGTAATTATGCAATCATTTAACTATATAAGTGATAATTAAGTAAGCGATTAATATAATGTAATATAATAAATTATAATATGAGAATTATTAACTATAATATAATGCTTAATTAATGTTTTAAGGAATGTTATAATTAATTAAATTTCTTATCATTTAATTAAGTATGGTTTTAATGTTTATGTAGTAAATAGTAATTACTAATGTTTAAATATAAATACCATAACTTATAATCAATAAGTAATTATTTAATATGTAATGTTATATAATTATATGATCATACTATAATATTATAATGTAATGTTATAATGAATAAGTAACATACTACAAATCTATAATTATATTATAATTAATTAATTCAAATCATTTAATTAATATACTAATGTTTATAATGGAATGTTATATTGATTAAGTAATTATATTACAAATATATAAAGTAATGTTATAATTAATTAAATTTTAATCGTTTAATTAAGTAATGTAATAGTATAGTAGATTACTAATGTTACAATGTAATGTTTATAATTCATAACTAATTAAGTAATTATGTAATTATTATATATATGTTATAATTAAGTAAGTGATCATAATATATAGTATATAATAATATTATAATTTAATTGAGAATATTTAACTACAATATAATGATTAATTATGTTTATAAGGTAAGTTATAATTAATTAAATTCTTTCATTTAATTAAGTATTGTGCTAATGTTTATGTAGTAAATTAGTAATTACTAATGTTTAAAATATATATCATAACTCATAATCAATTAAGTAATTATTTAATTATGTATGTATATTAATTATATCATACTATAAATAGTATAATGTAATGTATAATGAATTAAGTAATCATACTACAAACTATAATTTAATATTATAATTAATTAAATTTCAAATCATTTAATTAATATACTAATGTTTATAATGGAATGTTATAATTGATTAAGTAATCATATATAAATATATAAAGTAATGTTATAATTAATTAAATTTTTATCGTTTAATTAAGTAATGTAATAGTATAGTAAATTACCAATGTTATAATGTAATGTTATAAATTCATAACTAATAAGTAATTATGTAATCATTAACTATATAGTGCATAATAAGTAAGTAATCATATATAATGTAATATTAAATATTATAATTTAATTGAATAATTATTAACTATAATGTAAGCTTAATTAGTGTATAATGAAATGTTTAAAGATAATGTATAATTAATTAAATTTCTTATCATTCTATAAGTATTGTGCAATGTTTATATAGTAAATAGTAATACTAATGTTTAAAAATAATATCATAACTCATAATCAATTAGTAATATTTAATTATGTAATGTATATTACTTATATGATCATACTATAATAGTACAAGTAATGTTATAAGAATTAATAATCATACTATAAATCTATAATTTAATATTATAATAATTAAATTTCAATCAATGATAATATACTAATGTTAATAGAATGTTATAATTGATTAAGTAATTAATAAATATATAAGGTAATGTTATAATTAATTAAATTTTTAATCGTTTAATTAAGTAATGTAATAATATAGTAAATTAGTAAATTACTAATGTTATAATGTAATGGATAAATTCATAACTAATTGTAATTTATAATCATTTAACTATGTAATGCTATAATAAGAAAGTGATCATAATATAAATGTAATATATAATATTATAATTAATGAGTAAATATTTAACTATAAGTAATGTTTAATTAATGTTATAATGAAAATATAAGGTAATGTTATAATTAATTAAATTTCTTATCATTCAATTAAGTATTGTGCTAATGTTTATATAGCAAATTAGTAATTACTAATGTTTAACATAATATCATAACTATAATCAATTAAGTAATTATTTAAAAATGTTATAATTAATATATAATCATACTATAATGTAATGTTATAGTGAATTAACTATTAATAACATACTATAAATTTTAATGTAATATATAATAATTAAATTTTTAATCATTTAATTAAGTTTGTACTAATGTTTATAATAAAGTCAATTAATTAAGTAGTAATCAATTAATGTATGCTATAATTAATTATATTATAAATCAATTAAGTAATGTTATAAAATTATAATTAATTAAGTAATCATTAATATAAGTAATGTTATAATTGATTAAGTATGATATTTAACTAGTAATTAAATATTAATGTTTATCAATTTATCATATATAATAATTAATTACTAATTTAATAGATATATTTAGAACTGATAATTGAAGTAAATAACTAATAATATATATACTCAATCAAATATACTTTTATTCAAAAATAATCTTTTAATAACATTAAAATATAAACACTTTAATTGGATCATAATTCCAATTATTCACTTAATTGATCAAAACTTAATATTAAGTATTATAATATTAAAGCTTTTAATATGTGTGATTTATATGTAATAAGTATAATGTATTTGTATATTATTTAATTAGGTTATTCTAAAAATTTAACTTTTTCTATTTTAAATTTTTTATATGTAAAATAATAGAAACTCCCCCATTATTTACATTTCACAAATATTCATTATAGTCCAGTTCCAAAATAGGTTCTAAACAGGTTCAAAAAACAGGTTCCAATATAGGTTCCAAAACAGGTTCAAAAACAGGTTCCAAACAGGTTCCAAAACAGGTTCCAAATAGGATACCCTTTTTACAGGTTCTGGTTCCGGTTCCTCTGGGGGTAAGAACCGGAACCGAAACCGCACAGTTGCGGTTCCAAAAAATTGGAACCGGAACCTACCCGCACAGTGCAGGTTCTGGTTCTGGTTCCGGTTCTTACCCCCGGTTCTAGTTCTACCCGCTACCCGTGCTCACCCCTACTCTCAGCTGCTCAATTCAATGAGCTCAGACAAAAAATGACAGTTCTTGATGGTGCTTGCTTTCAAATTTGAATTCTGGCTGCTGATTTCTGCAGTAACTTTCTGCAGCAACTGTGTTTCAAATCTGGAGTGGTATTTCAATCTGCAGTTTCAGTATCTACAACTTGTGTTTCAAGTCTACAGTGCTATTTTAAATCTGCAGTGCATTTCTGATATCTGCAGAGCATTTCTAATGGTTGATGATTTCTGTTATCTGTATATTGGAGCTGATTTTTTTTTGGTTATCTTTGATGAAGCTTCTGATGACTGATATTTTCCTACTGTTTTTTGGATGAAGTTTCTGATGACTGCTGTCTTCTTTTTGCTGTTGGAACTGATATTTCTGCTGCTTTTGAGAAGTTTCTGATGACTGAAACTGGCAGTGAATGCTGCTAACAATTAGGTCCTCCAACTAGGTTTGGTTTAAGAGAGATGTTGACATAAAAAAGTGGTGGAAGTGCACAGATGTTAGGTACTCAAACCAGGTTTGGTTTGAGAGGAGATGTTGATATAATAGGGTGAAAGTGCAAAGTTGTCAAGTATTTGGATGCTATAATACTTAGTCAAAGTGATGTCGTTTTAAGTAAAGAATTCAGCTTACTTTACCTTGTAACAGTGTCAGTATAAAAGAGCGACTGCTCTCTCTTATTTGTATCGATTCTCAATCAATTGAAATATACAAACCCTTTCTTCTCTAAATTTGTTCATACTTCACATCTACAAATCAAGAAGAAGTAGAAGAAATGGGTTGAAAGATCACCTGTTTTGACACCTTGGATGCAATCTACAACTAGCTTATTTAGAAGAAGGGCCTAAAATAGGGAAGAGTAAGAGAAATAATATTATATACTGAGGCTCAAGGAATAGCAAGATGATATTTAGCGACAATGTAACAACGAAACTGAAAAAGAGCTACAAGAATAAAAGTAACCAAGGTTAGATCCTCCACCAAGAACACAATCAATCTAAATCTTAGACACAAAAGAAAAAACTTAGCCAGATACAATCAATCTAAATTGCATGCATTGGTTATATTCAAATCAATGATCCAGCGTGAGTCACAACAACTCATTTGAAACAAAATCTACCACAAATCGCACAGCAAAACCCATAATTTTTACCCATTTAAACAAAACCATTAGACTCGTTTCTTCACTTGCGCAGGTCATGCATATCCAGCCCCCCCCCCCATCATAGCCGCTCCCCCTATGCAACCTACCCGCTGCCCATATCTCACCTGTTATGTCCGACCTTGCAACCCCCACCCCTCCTAATATCCATCTCACTCCACTCCCATCGCATCTCTACCACATCCGACCTTTTGTTGCTGGGACTCGGTGATTTGAGTTTGATTTTGAAATTTTTTTTCGCTTTACAAAAAGTTGTAAATTTAGAATTTTGTGAAGCTGTTGGCTCTAAAGGGTTAGGGTGATTAATTGTGAAGAAGTCATAGAAACCGAAAGTTGTGATGTTGTTTTTGGTGGGGAGTTGTGGCTACCGGGTTTTTGCCGCGGTGATTTAGGAATTAGGTGTTATATATATATAGAAGGATTTTTGTTTTGATTGGTTCGGTTCAAAGAAGTATTTTTTGGTCTACCTCACTTCCTTTTCTTCAGTTTTACCTTCAATCAATAACATATTAATAACTCAATCAAAATACAACTATCTCCAAGAATACCCTTTTTCTGTTAATTTTCGTAACAACGTTTGAGAGTTTGAAGGACGATTTGAAAGTAAAAGAATAAAGATGTCATTGATGAGTAGACTGATATCATATGGACCAAAATGTTTTTGACCCTAACGATTGTATATACATATATGGACTCATAAAGAAAGACCTTTAAGTCAAGTAAAGCAGATAGCAAATGATAACATAATGTCTAACTAAATTTCCACGTGAGACGCATTAGATTCTAACTTCTTTAACAAACCACTCAAACATCAGTTTCAATTAGGAGTGAGCAGTGTTGAGTACCCTACATTTTTCAGGGGAACTGGAACTGGAACCGGAACAGCACAGTACAGGTTCCTAAAAAAAGGTCAATTCCGATTCTTAAATTCAAGGAATCGGAACCTGAAATGTAGGTCTGATTCCTTACCAGAGTACCTTGTAAAAAATCAATTAGTCCCATATTAGTTTAAAAAATGACAAAAATACCTTAAATGTTTACAGATATACACCTAACAAATTAAGAAAACCTACATTTAGTAGTTTTTAACTTTTGATTACTCATTCATTTGTGTCCAATGTGACTCATAAATCCTCTAATCTCTAGACAACACTTGAATTCAATCAATTCATCACAATTCACATAAAATTTCTCAATCAAAACCAAAACACAAACAAGTTCCAAGCTGGGTACTCGCTTCAAGTTCTTTTCGCAGGTTTCAGTTCTAGAACCTGTAGGAACTAGAATCGAAACTGCATAATGTCGGTTCCAATAAAATGGAACCGAAACATACCCACACATTGTTGGTTCCGAGTAGGTTTCGGTTCTGGTTCTACCCGTAGGTTTCGGTTCTACCTGCTATCCATGTTCACCCCTAGTTTCAATAAAGCAAGCTCAGTTTGGATAAGTGATAAGAAGTTTTACATTTGAATGATTAAATGTTCCTTAGATTTGTTCATGATTTGATAAATTAAATGTATGTTGTTCAATACGTGTTTCCTGATTGAATTTTAGGTTAACTACAATGAAATGTAAGTGAAATAAACCGACACTCCTGTACTCAACCAATTGTTGAATTCCCCTCTTGTACTCAACGTTTCCAATTAATAATGAAAAGTTATTTTGTAATGAGATAGTACAAGCGATGATTTGGATTAGAATTATACAAATGACTAATCACATCAAAAAGAAGGGGGAACTGGAGCAGAGCAAATAGGGTGATAGGAACACAAGCAACAATAGCTATTGGAATAGCTACCCAAGCAAAGTCATCACTAAGAGCAATGAAAAGAGTGACCCCAAACGCTGCCATCATGGTGGCTATTGAGATGAAGAGAGCTGCAAGCCCTATTATCAGCCCGTTTGGTAATGAATTAATGTAGGGAAAATAGTGTTAAATTAGGATTTAATTTTGTTTCCCTTTCTTTATTTTATTTTCTTATTTCTTTAGGGTTTCATATTAAGAATTCAAGTAGTTTTCTATTTTAATTAAGGGTTTAGTTGATTTAGGAAGTTTTAGTTTAGTTAAATTTTATTTTCTTATTTTATAGTTAGTCAACAGTTGGATTTCTTGTTTTAATTAGTTTTCATGTTTAAGTAGGATTTTGTTTCCTTGTTTAATTATAGTCCTATTAGGGTTGGCTGTAACCACCCTATATAAACATATTATTTGTTTCTTTTGAAGATATAGAATATTCAATGAATTGTTCAGATTTATTTCAGATTTTATGGCTTAAGTTTCATGATTGAGACTTGTTATCAGCTCTAAAGGTGTAGCCGAGTGCTAGCCTTGTTTTATCACGCTAACTTGCTGCGTCAGTTGGTATCAGAGCCAGGTCAAATCCGTCTGATCTAATGGCAAGTGATGAAGTTATAGGTAGTGGTGGTTCTCATGATGAAGACCAGGGAGCTGAGACCTCGCAAGGAGTGGCATTGAGAGCATTGGACCAACGAATGGATCTTAGATTCTAGCGTTTGGAATGACGCTTTGAAGAAATTGCAATCGACTTGATGCTTTGAGCGTAGATGCTAACAAAAATACAAATGACTAAAGGTAACCTATCGATGATGATACCGCTCACGAACAGCTTATTGGTAGACCTGTTTTTGCAAATAGATGTAGACAACTAGTTTACATGGAAAAGTCAAACAAAGAAGATGGTTATTATGAAGAGCCCGAAAGGAACATGGGGTATGTAGAAATCAGTATGGTGACAGAGAATCCAACAAATTTAGATTAAAGGTAGATATCCTTTGCTTTAGAGGAAATTTAGTTATTAAGGAATTTTGGGATTGGATTGGGGAAATAAATAGGTTTTTCGAATATATGAAGATTTCAGAAGGAAGAAGGGTCAGACTTGTTGTGCGCAGATTGAAGGTGGAGCTTCTGCATGGTGGGAAGGATTACAGTCTAGAAGATTTCGCGAGGGGAAAGCACCAGTTAGAACTTGGTATAGGATGAAACAGTTGTTACAAAGGGATTTTCTTCCTCCTGATTATGAGCAGATCTTGTTCCAATAGTACGAAAAATGCCATCAGGGTCAGAGTCCAAAAATATATTGCTGAATATTGATAGTTGTTACTACACCTTGACTATAATGAACATCCATATAGAGTAGCTTTAAGATTCTTTAATGGGTTGAATGTAAACATACGAGCTCAAATTAATTTACGACTTGATCATACGTTGCTTGATGTTCTTCGATTAGCCGTTGATGTAGAATCACAATTAAGAATTAAAAAAGAATTCTTCTTTAGAGAATACATGCTCACAAGTTATGGAAGAAGACAAGAAGCTTAAAGCACTTCCTAAAGAAATTCTTAAAGCCAACGAAGATCATAAGATGTTACGAATAGAGGATCACACATCAAAGGAGATTGACTATAAAGTAGACATTGAAGCTGAATGAGTTCTCCAAGAAGAAAAGATTGAACAAGAGCAAAAGCAGATTCTTCTAAAGGAGAAGCTTGAGCAAAAGCAAGTTGTTCTAAAGGAGAAGCTTGAGCAAGAAGAACACATACAAGCTAAGGATCAAAAGGATGAAACATTGACGGCATTCGATTTCAACTTGAAGACTACACTGCGTGACAATTGTCCTAGGAAGATCAATGACAAAGGATATTTATTTGCTCCAAAGGAGGACTTATTACTCTACTTCAAGTATCACCCACTAGATTGAAACTCTAGGGCGAGTTTATTTTTAAGAGGGGGAGTATGATGTAGGGAAAATAGTATTAAATTAGGATTTAATTTTGTTTCCTTTTTTATTTGATTTTCTTATTTATTTAGGGTTTCATATTAGAAATTCAAGTAGTTTTCTATTTTAATTAGGAGTTTAGTTGATTTAGGAAGTTTTAATTTAGTTAAATTTTATTTTCTTATTTTATAGTTAGTCATCAGTTGGATTTCTTGTTTTAATTAGTTTTCGTATTTAAGTAGGATTTTGTTTCTTTGTTTAATTAAAGTCTTGTGAGGATTGGCTGTAACCACCCTATATAAACATATTATTTGTTTCTTCTGAAGATATAGAATATTCAATGAATTGTTCAGATTTATTTCAGATTTTAAGGCTTAAGTTTTTGTGATTGAGACTTGTTATTAGTTTTAAAGGTGTAACCGAGTAGCCTTGTTTTATCACGCTTGCAATGCATCTGCTATGGTTAAAACCAAAAATGACCTGTGATGAAGAAAAATAAGCCTGCCTGTAAGATTGTTATTTCCACTTG